TATATATATATAGTACCGTAAGCTAACAAAAACCGTTTCTATGTTGGCCAGTCTAAAAGTAGTCTAGTACTTTGTCTCGCATTGGTCCTCACTGCTATCATACATAATGATGAATATGCACGATATGATGTTGAATAACAGTCATAACATATGAGCTATTCTGTGACCTCTGCCGCTATGTCTCCGTGCCTGATACGTCCTCTGCCTGCGCAAGAGATCTAACAGATGATTACAAAATTGCGTCCTTTTGACGAACGCCATTATACTCCATCAAGCAAAATGTGGAACGACTTTCAAACTGAAGAAAAAAACTAGGCCAACCGTCGCCAGAAAATTACGGACTAGGTATAGTCTGCATCGCATGAATTAGTCCCCGATACTTGAACGGATTTAACCCGATTACCTACGGCTCCAGGTATTGGATGATGACTGATGTACAGATACAGACGCTGCATGGTCCAGCGGCGATCACAATTAGGACAAAAATCAGTGGCCGTTAGAACCACATTAATCTTGCTATATAGGGCAATCGCATGTTCTAAATATTTAGTGGCCTCATCCAATAAAAATGTAGATACGAGACAGCATCCATTACTCAGTCGTTGCTAAAGAGTTTACATGGTAGAATCTCTGATGAGGTAGAGGATTTGCACTGGTATTTTAATCTATGTCCAATTAAGACCATATCCTTATTAAAATAATGATATGGTCTTAATTGGACAAAGATTAATTGATTGATCGATTGATTGACTGGCTGATTGGACACTTTTGGAACAAAGAGATGTCTATACAAATCTTAGGGGGGAATGTTTGATGTCAATTAGAAGTGTAGATGACTGATGATTGTTATAGTTTCATTATTTGAATAAAACTAGAAATGCATACTATGTAATATTTTGACATTTGGAGTATGGTGGGTTTGTATAAAATCAATAACGCTCTCATAACTAGTCATACTGTTTGCACCGTATCCATATGCTGTGGCTCACCGACCAACGAGCTGAAGATTTCTAATTCATTCCCAGATATCTTTCCATAACTCCCAATATGCAAAACAAGCACAGAACTATGACTATGATTAACGAGTTACTTTGCAAGATACAAGATAAACGTGAAGCCGCTAGAGTTTATAAGAAGAACATATTTATCATTACAACTCCCAGAACTAACGTCAATACTAATCTCTGCATTTATGACTTACTTTGTTAATAATTTCAATAGCATGCATACAGGCGACATCGAAGTTTTGCGCCGTACTTTTAGCAGACAACAATCTATATAGCTATGCATGGCTGGTATGTTGTACAAGATGACCTTAATTTATGGGGATGTCAAAGAGGCTTAAGACATGACATGTAAATAGCTTCACAGGGCCAGAAGGATAGAGTTATTTCCTTATTTATACGGCATATTGGTAAAGGCTGCTTGTAATGATATGGACATTGGTGAACCATTCGCTGCACTCTCCCCTCGGGCAGCGCGTTCTCACATCTCTGGTACATCTAACTGACGGATGGCCTGGCCAGTCTGGCGCCCTGTTTTGCATATTACACCCTCAGGCGCTTTCTTATACATTCATTAGCAGCTAGTCGACACAAGGGACTGAAAAATTCTGGAATTTTTTTTTGCGAGTTGATATACAAATGTTTTATTTATTTTAAATGTGATATTGACAAAGGTTTGAAAGATACCAGGGCACGACAGATATTGCAATGTATTCTTTGCTCATGAATAAAGTCATTAAACAAGCCTATATGTCAGCCTTGGTACAATGTAGATACTGGCAAAAGCTACCGGCAACAAGGCTGTCATCCAGGTTAGTTCATTACTAGAGTCGGGATTCGTCTCTACTTGAGGAATTCGTCTCTACTTCTCCCTTTCACCGTTGCAAATTTACCATCCCATCCTGTGACGTCAGAAGCGTACATTCTGCAGGCCTCATGACACGGTGGGACTTACAGATTCACCAGTTCTGCTTAGGCCACACCGATTTAATTTTATGGATGACATCCTCTGAAGACCCCCAAACTAGTGCGCGCGGGCGAATAAAAAAAAATCCGGCCAAAAATAAGAAATGCTACTAAACCACAGGAATACAAAGCTGGTATTGTGAATTTGCGACAGGACTTAGCGATGTATACGGCAAACCGGCACATGCTGGCTTTTTGCGGTATTTATGAATCGGTACTTTTTTTTTGAGGGCGACAGGCCAAAATCAATGCGCGCGCGGATGTCATCCATAAGATTAAGTCAGTGTGGCCTTACGCTGCGATCTACAAATAAATGGCACAGAAATCTTATATATATACATACATATACATAGGGCTGTACGTTATATATTTGCGTCGGACTTATAACTGATATGTCTGATATGGACTACGTAAATCAGTTCTTTGCAAAGTGATTTGATTTCTTCATGGACGTTTATCATGTGGTCCTCCTTCTTTGAAGTGTCCAACGACGGTAAATCATATACATGTACAACTGAAAAAAAATCTTATCCATTATTTCTGGAATGGATGTCCGTGAGAACTCTACACCGTCAACATAAAGCCATGCTAGTGTATAGGGCCTTGGACAATTCTTTACCACCACATATGCGAGGGGTGTTCATCCGGTATAGAGATGAAGCCTCCAGATCCACCAGACAAAGCACATTGGACAACCTCATCATACCGAGGCCCCAACTGGAAGTGTACAGGCGGTCACTGAGGTACTCGGGGGCGACTGTGTGGAACTCCTTGCCACCACATGTACGAGCAGCCCAGTCATTGGGAACATTTAGAAGTATGATAAGGAACTTGGACTGATAACGGACTGATGATTTGCTATTTATTTTTGTATTATATTTTGATTTGCATTTTGTTTTGATTTTGTATTATATTTTGGTTTGATCTGTAATTCCGTGACCCCGCCCTCACCCTCGACCTTGTTGAAAAGCGGTATGTACCGAACAAGCATTCGAGATTAAATAAAGGCTTACTACTACTACTACTACTACATCACATAAACTATGAAGCCATACATTGAATAAGCTATACATATAATATGATTATCATAACCTTTATTTTTAAAATCATGCCAGTGAGCTAATTGCATGTACAGAGTGAAAGAAAGTAAAGTAAAGTAAAGCAGTAGAATTTCTGTACTAAGCTATGATAGTACTCCATATGATTCGTCCTCATCGTCATCATTCAATGTGGTCTATCTCTTGCTACTAGTGACTGGTAATACCTCTGTAGATTCTTCACACTGGCAGAGTACCGTACTCATTCTCTCTTGTCAGCTCCATACTTTTGTGACAACATCAAAGTGATTTTGGTTTGTATGTTGGAAAAATACAAAAGACTAACATTCTAAGTTATTGACATTCTTGAGTAAGAACAATCAGTTTTTGAATGTTAAAAGCAAAACAACGAAAATCAAAAAAAAAATGTTGAAATTGTTAAAATGCAGGATTGTTAAAATTGTTAAAACTAATAAAATTATTAAAACTGATAAA